AGCCTCTCCCCCCAGTTTAGTATCATCAGCAAACTTGGCTGAGGGTGCACTCTGGGCCTTCATCCAGGTGATCGATGACTCCATTGAACAAGACTGGACCCAGGACTGACCACAACCCTCTGAGCTCGGCCATCTAGCCAGTTCTCAATCCACCTCACCGTCCACTCATCTAGCCCACACTTCCTGAGCTTACCTGGGAGGATGTGATGGGAGACAGTGTCCAAAGCCTTGCTGAAGGAATGGAAGTTCCATCTGAACCTGCGGACAAACTTATTGACTGTGAGGGTGATAGAGCACTGGAAGAGGTTGCCCAGAGAGGTAGTGGAGTCTCGTTCCCTGGAGATATTCAAAATCCATCTGGATGCGATCCTGGGCAATATGCTCTAGAGGTTGGACTAGATGATCTCCAGAGGTCCCTTCCAACCTCAGCCATTCTGTGATTCTCTGAAGTCCAGGGAGACAACATCCACTGCTCTCCCCTCATCTACCCAGCCAGTCATCCCATCCTAGAAGACTGTCAGCTTGGTCAAGCATGATTTCCCTTTGGTGAAGCCATGTTGACAGATCCCCTTCTTGTCCTCCAGATGCTTAGTGAGGACCTCCAGGAGGAGCTGTTCCATCACCTTTCCAGGGCTGGAGGGGAGGCTGAGAGGCCTGTAGTTTCCTGGCTCCTCCTTCTTGTCCTTTTGGAAGAATGGGGTGACATTGGCTTTCTTCCAGGCCTCAGGCCCCTCTCCTGATCTCCAGGACCTTTCCAAGATGATGGAGAGTGGAACATATTCCTTATTTTGTGCTGCTGCTCATTTAAGCCCGGTATGACGAAATCCACCTAGCTCTGATCACAGAGACAAGACCAGCGTGATAGCTGATAGTTTGCTGTGCAGGTTATGGGTTAGGGTGGTTTTTCAGAGACACCTGGCAGAGGTTCAAGACCTGCGCTCTTTCCTTGCCTCCCCTGAGGGTTTTCAGCTCCTGTGATAATGTGGCCATTACCTCTAGCCCTGATCCTACCTCTGACCTCACCAAGGAAAGACAAGTATTTGAGAAAGTCCAGCTCCTTCCTTCCTCTTTGATATGTTAGGAGTAGAGCCTGGCCATTGCTTCACAGATACTCGTGGGACCTGCTCCAGTCAGTCTGCCTTAGTGCTGGCATTGCTGCTCGGTCTTGGCAGCAACAATATACCTCGTGCCAAGGAACTCTTAGACTGTGCATGAAAGCTTCTTCTCTGTGTAAGGCTTCCCTTACATGTCTCTTGAAATGACAGCATGCTCCTGCAGGACCTTACATATTTCTGTGAAAGTTTTAAAAAAAAAAAAAAAAAAACATAAGGGACATCTACTAGGACACTGCATATAAGGGAAATGCCTCATGAAATATACTAGTTATTGCAAAACAGCTAAATTTTCTTTGAATTGGTTCTGCGGAAGTTGTGCTGGATTTACCTGACTTGTTATGCTGTCACTCAGGTTTGTTTTGACTGGTTCTTTCTGTATTCTGGGGTATTGTCTTCTGGTGAATCCCACTACATTGCACCATTGTGCTGAATCTCTTGGAGCTACGGGTTTTTACAACAGGCACCTTGATGTGCCAGTATAGTGAGAGTTCCCCATCTCTATGGGGGAACACACATAAGTCCTTCATCTTCTCCCCTTAAACATCTACACGTGTTACGTCTACACAGCTACATCCCCTAAAAATCCCCCTTAAACCTTTTCCCCCCAGGAATCTGGGGGAAAATGCACAGAATCCTTATCGATGATATTTTTGGATGGAACAAAGGTCAGGACAGTGACAGACCAGTACTGGTTGATTAAATAGCGCCATTTAATTTGCTTTGCTAGGTACACCGAAACACAGTGCCTTTTAGCATAGCCATGTGCAAGTTCCTAGTTCAAGGACCCAAAGAACCAGCATCCATCCTTTTAAACAAAGGCCTTGACTATTGCCAGTGGCTCAGTGGGAGCACCTAGCTTGATACAGTGGTCAAAAGGGCTACTGAGATGCCTGGCTAGTGGTCTGTTGAGCAGAACATCATTTGTAGCACCATTGCTGCATCCAGATCCAGAAAAAAATGTTATTTGATTTGAGCTTGTTTTCCTCAAATGGATCTCTTGGGTGTAACCCCCGTTACTGTCTGTCCTTTTTCTCTAGTCATACTGCGTTGGTAGCTGAAAGAGTATTTCCAAGTGGAAATGGCATAGTAGTGAATCACATTCGTAATTGAATAATAATCTGAAGTGAATACTCGAGCAATCTAAGTCCACAGAAAGACTTGGATTTTGCAGCACCAACCATGATAGCCCCCAGGACTGTAGTTTCTTATTCCGGTAAAGCACTCTATATACACCATGCATTCAGCAGATAGTAGTGCTCTTTGCTATCGCTGCCCTTCTTTCAGAAGTTCATTGGTTGTATGTCCTGCCCAGAAAGTGGGAAATGTGGGTTCAGTTTCATCCCATTTATCGAGCAAGTGCTTTAGGTACGGACTTATTGATGAAAAGAGCAGCGAGTTCCACCTTCTGCCATGTTTCGTGCAATACGCTGTGTCTGTTAGTGCCAGTGAGCCAAATAGCTCGAAGAAATCGCTGTTGTTTGGATCCTAATGATGCTAAGCTGTGAGTTCAAACATGAGCTGTTGCCTGGCCAGCAGCAGGATCCTGAATACCTGGGGAGCTATAACATGAAAAGCTTATGCACATGTAGTGTTTAGGCAGCATCGAAAAAAGCTGAGCAAATCTTTCCTGGCCTGATCTCCTAGTCTAGGCGTTGAAAGCAGGCGTTGGGAAAGTACCAGAGTGGTCTTCTAGAGTTGCCCCTTAATTTACATACAGTTGTATTTTTCTTGCATTCAGTACAGGATAGTAAAATCCAACTGCCAGTTTCTCAGCTGCGCAAAGTGTGGGCAGAAGCAGTTCACTACGTGATTGGGCTAAAAGAAGATTATAGCAGGCTTTTCCAGGGCCAGAGAGCTGCCATGTAAGTTGTTACTCCTAATTCATAAGATTGTGTATTATCTTAAATAAAGAGGCTGTTTGAATGGAAGTGTATATCTCAGGGAAGTTTTGATTACCCAGAGTTTACACTCCTCTCCTCTGCTCTTCCTTACTTTTACATTATAAAGCATATTTGGGCTGGGAGCTGATTCCACTCCATGAATTTTACTGCATAGTACTGGACGTTCATAATAACTGGAGAAACATGAACCTTGAATTTAGTCATTCCACAAATGGCAGAATGAATGCAAGTGTTTATTGTGTTTGTAGTGGCTGAACCACAGAATGGGCAGTAGCAAGTATCTTAAATAGTAAAAATGGTGACAGCGTTGCCCAGAGGCCATATGCACTTCCAGAGCCTGAATACGCCAGGAGATTGTCCACGCTGCAAACTGACTGTTTAACTAAGCTTGACAAAATAACCTGGGAAGTGAGGAAGGACTTTCTTTTTTGCTTGCTGCAGACCTGCATCGTAAAAGTTGACTTCCAGAAAGTTCCTAGGTAGAGTCTGTGTCCCCGCTGAGACTCCCTGTTCTGAAGATTTTACAAAATTCATTACTAGCTACTTATTTCCTTCAGGTGATGTGACAGCCACTTTAGGCACTGACCACGTAAGTCCACGTCAGCTTTTCCACTAACATCCACTGTTCTTGTTTCATTTGTTAGGCTGAGTCTCCTTCGGTATAATGCCAATCTAATCAAAATGAAAAACAACATGGTGTCAGCATCTCAGCAACTGAAAGCAAAGCTGGAGTTCTTTCATCAGAGCATTCACCTTGACCTGGAGAGATACAGTGACCAGATGGCTTATGGCATATGTATGTGTTTGGGTAATACTTGCCTGGATGTCTTCTCTGATCCTCCTCTATAAAGGGCAGTGAGTAAGAGCTAGCTTAAAAGAAAATGAATGCAGGCGCTGCCATCACCTTCTGCAGCGTGCTTATACGTATGTTTTAGTTGAGGGTTAGATGCAGGAGAAGAGTTCGACAAGAACAAAGGCAGGAAGATAACAAAAAATTCCTGGAGACCTTCAAATACAGTGAAACTAGGCAGCTGTTCCCCACGGAGAATACCAAGCTAAGAAAATTAGAATATTAAGAGTAAAGGTGGAGTTGGTGTTTGCTATTTGTTAATTCAAAGTCTGATCCATTTGGAGTTGTCGGGGGCGTTAAGCGGATGGCAGAGGTGCTGCACTTGATGTGCAGTGGAAGGGGCACTGAAAAACAATGTGCAAACTGATACGGTGATTGTGGAAACAGCATTTTGAACAGTGCTACAGGAGTGATTTTGCTGTGGTTGATAATGGGAGGTAGCAGTAGTCAGGACAAAAGATGAGGTGAAAAAGTCCCAGCTAGAGTTTTAATGTCATACAAACGTCTGGATCTTACAAACGTTATACAAGGAGAAGCAGCAAGATTTCTACAGGGTTTGAATATATGGCTAAAAAACAAAACTTGAGTCAAAGATTTTGACTGGGCAGAAAGATGATGAAGGAAAATGGAAGGACTCAGGCAACTGGTTTTGGATGGTCTGTGTTTAATCACAAATGGCAGTTGTTGAGCTTAGTGGTGGAATTTAAAGACTCAAAGTCATTTTAGGTCAGTGACTGCAAACGGTAAGATCCTGTAACTATGTATGCGAGTAAAGGTCGAGCGTGGAGATGCTGTAACGCTGCCAGTTTGCTGTCTCTCTTGGATCTCTGGGATTCCTGCTTAGAGATCCACTCATGCTATTTGTGTTTAAATTTAACTGATGCCTGCAAAGTTCAGGTCGTGTACGCTATAGAGTGAGTGCTCGGAATATATCAGTTGTGTTTTTCTCCAGCATATGTGGTACGGGCTATTAGTATGGTTGCCACTGGAATCTTTAGAGCAAGATGGACACCTTTTTTGAAAGATGAATTCCAGGTTACTCTAAGAAATAGGAATAATACAGGGCTGCGTCACAATTCCGACTGGATGGCCAGAAAGTCACCCATGGTCTTTAGACGTAAAGTCCAAGAAAGCTCTGTTATGGCTAAATGTCTGCAAGAATGGGGAGCCTAAGTTCACAGTTTTGTCTTCTTTGACACTCTTGGCTATAACAAACAAATCAAATTAAGGGAATCCATTTGCATCCCCAAACTTAAAATCAGAATATTCTTAATGTGCATAAATATGGACTTTGGAGTCCGTTTGCCAAGTCTTCACCTATGCTTATATTAGGTGAGCTCAGTTCTATCTGTTTCTATTTTTGTGTCTGTATCTTTTTATAATTTACCAAGTCTCTTCTCTTAAGCTTCAGAAAAGATGCTCAAAGCCTGGAAGGAGATGGAAGAGAAGGCCTCTCAATGTGCACAGGTAGGGGATACTAAAGAGGCTTGATTATCTCTCTGTGAAGGAGGATGTAACAGAACTTGAACTACCATATGTGCTCTGCTTTGTTGCTTCAGTGTATTTTATATACTGTATGCTGTAGGAATGAGAAAATCATTGCTACAAGTAAGTGCATTAAAAAAGAACAGTCCTCAGTTGCCCGGTTGTTTGAATGTAGCGATTTGAACAAAACCAAAGCAAATGTCACCAGACTTTCAGTCATCTATGTGAGTGAATTGGTAAGAAAAACAGAAATACAGAGACATGTTAATTTATTGCCCAGAAGAAATGGTGTTGCTGCAGCCAAGAATCTTCTTTGTTGGATTTGTCATGCACAAAAGTTTGCATTGATAAAGCTGAAAATAATACAGATCGCTTACTATCCAGTGATTTCGAAATTACAGCACTTAATTTCGGAGTACAGAAATAAATTTCTGGTATTTTGCAAGTAAATAGATCAATTTGTTTTTAGTAATAGAAATAAAAGAGTCATCCTTAAGAAATTTAGAGCTGAGCTAGAGCCAGTCTGTGCTCTGAACTGTCCTAACAGATAACAGAGGTTTCCTTCGTGGATTATGGACAGTTGAGCTAATATAATGCCTTTCTGTTTCTTGAAGAGCTGGCCCCGCAAGAAAGGCTAGTTGAAGCAAACCTACTTCTTAGAGTTCTTACCTGTTTCCAGGGAATGGGCGTTTTCATTTTTCTCTCACTGAAAGCAGTGAGGAGCAGAAGGCCCTTCTGACAGAGAATAATCTGCCTATGTTTCTGTTAAGCCTTTACAGGGAAGTAATAAGCTTTTAGCTATGTAAACCAGGGACAGAGGTAGCATGTTTGCAAAAAGTTTATTGCCAAAAGCGGTCTCCTCCTCTCTTCCCCTGGATGTACTGAATAGGGCTTGAGCGAGGGGAGATATTTAGAAGGGAAGCAGGTAAAAGTCAACACTTTTGTAATGCATTTCTTGGAGTAGAGCTCTTTAAAACATCTCAGAAAGCAGTCGCTTTATTGTGCTCCATGATACTAGGTAGCTGCAGGAGTGCCAAGACCACTGAATGTTCTGCTGATTAGAATTGCTGTGTGGTTTGCTGGGCGGCTGTACATCTTAAATTTCTACAGGGAGTTCTTGTATTGGCTGACATAGTAATAGAGCGTGTGATGATTCATACATAAAAACCCTAGAGGCCATTAGAAACACAAATAAATTACTCTGCTTCCCCCCACCTGCTTCCATGACAGATGAGGCTAGGTAGTTGAGGTTCTGGGATCTGTTACATAACTTCATCTAAGTCGAGAGGTACTTGAAGCCTCAATTCTGCTTCTGCTTGCTCATATGATAGAGATAAGGGAACTGGGATTTCTGTCTGATTTCATCTCTGTTTAGCTCCTTAACTGTTGGGACCTTGTTGATATTGCCTGTATTGCTTAGAGGGAGGTGTGAAATACCAGAGAAATGTCACACCAAAATGCATATTGGTGGATAAAATTCCTACTGTAAGGGTAGGAAAAATATCTTTAGTGTCGAAGCATACGTAGAGCCAGAGGACGTGTGTGCAATGTGCATCTCAAAGGGCTGTGATTTATGAAGAAGCTGATCTTTCTCATCCAGTGTGGTTCTCAGGGATGTGGATCTAGATAATACCGTCCCCTGAGAAGACAACGACAGTAATCTCAATTGTAATAGCAGCAGCTATGCGATAGAGACTTTGTCTCCTAAACTCTGCTTGGACTCAACCTGTTATCCAAACAAGTATTATGGGGATCTTTGTCTATTTTATTGCTCTCCACATGCGGTTTGATTTGTAGCTATATTCCCTCATTAGGCTGAAGATATTGGGTATCTCGATGAACAAATTATGGCTCTGCACACAGAGATTGTAGAGCTGCAGAAGAGTCCGTACGCAAGGCGCCAAGGAGAGGTCATGGAGAATTTGTAAGTCCTTTGCTTATATATTGAAATCATGGAACATTATTGAATTATGTGTATTTTGGTGTCTGAGATTTTTTTTTTTCCTGTTGTAATGATTTTCCCAGTAGTGCTTTCAAAATGAACTCCTGCCTTTTTGCACACCGCACATACGGAGTAGTTCTGCAGTCAGCTTAAGCTTATTTTGCTGGCAAAAAGGGAGGTCCCACCTTTTGTGACTGGGTAGCCCTCCTTGTTTTTGACAGTTCTAGCAATCACATGGCAGCATAACAAGGTAGATTTGGTTACTGATCTATCCGAAAACTGTGCAAAAAACATTAGCGTTCAGTCATAGGAATAAACTGATCTAACTTAACCCTGCAACCACGTAATGATTGGACCTGGGGAAGCATGGAAAACACAGCTAGGAAAGACACGACACTTTTTTGTCACTGACTGTGAACCTTCATCTTGGAAGAGGATGGGCCTAAGAGATTCATATCTGGGTCTCAACTGGAAAACGCAGAGGATTTTTTGGTGTGGGAGAAGAGTGAATTTTACTGTGCTGTGTGAGCAAATTATGAGATAATTTTAAAATGTTATTAAGTATTTGAGATGTGATTTCAGAGCAAGGGCCATTAAAAACTCTTAGAAGAGCTTCAATATTAATCAAAAAGCAATAAAATATGAAAAACTAAGCGGTATTACTGAGGTTAAAAAGTGCTAGGAAGCCCAAGAAAGTGCAAATCATAGCAGTTTGGTCTGTTGTTGAGAGCCCAAGGGACAATTACAAGAGAAGGGTCTAATAGCCACCAAGGTTAAATAGCCACCCAATCCATTGTCAGTGAGCGCTCTTCTGAATGACCCCTGGAGTTTTGGGAGGGAAATGTGCTTGTTCCTGGCACGTTCTCCCCGCTCCCTCTTTGCAGGATTAGATCAGCTAAGTTGCTAAGTCCTTGTGCAGCTGCAGAAGCAGCAGAACTGGTGCACAGGGGAGGAAGTGGTGGAGGGAAGAAACCACCTCTTGCAGCAGTAGCCCTCATTCAGATCAGCTGAAACGAATCATAAACCAGCCTCCTGAAACACTGCTTTTAGGATGTTGGCCGCTGAAAACACAAGGCTGCATCAGCTGTTTGCAAGGTGCTTAAAGCGTGCCTTGAACTGTTGATTTTGTCAGTCTAAAATGATGAATACTAAGTTCTGCACTGCCCATTCTTAATGAGGAATGAAGTGGAGAACAGACTGGGTCTCCTGCTCTTTGTTTTTTTCAGGCTCTAGCAGAGCACACTGCACAGACTAGCTTGAAAGTTGATACACCCTATGAGGAGACACGTGGATCCTGTGTGATATGTCAGACTTAGCTGGGGGTGTTGGATGACAATGTTTCCCTGTGCAGCAGGAGAAAAGAGGACCTCTACCCCTCTCCATGCCTGATGCAGGAGTGTCAAGGCGGATAGCTATCTAGTATGCTAGAAATGCTAATATTCATAAGCAGCATAAATTTGTACGATCTCTTAAAACAGTGTTGGGATGATCTAGGGGCAGTTAAGGGGGAGAGGCCTGGTGAGGGCTGGAAGCAGTGTTAGGACTAGCTAAACTGGTACTCAGCCTGTGCCAGACTTTTTAAATAAGAACAGCGAAGATTTGTCCCAGTTGTAGAAGCTTCAGTGTTTGGTTGCTTTTGAAATACTTGAGAGAAGCAACATTTATATATGGGAAGAAGGGAAACATTGTCCTCTTGCTTGTGATGTGGCTGTCTCTTTCAGTTTGCAGAACATCACTGTAGAAGTGACCAGGCAAAATAAGCTGAAGAAGAACAAGAATTTATCAGACAATTATGCAGAAGTACCTATAATCACAAAAAATAAAAGTTTCCTAATTAAGTATCACTCAGTAACAAAATCCAGTTAAGCCAGGTGGAAATTTGAAATTGAAAATATAGTCCAGGTGGAGGGATATCAAGAGAAGAAAATGCATAATCAAAGGAAAAGAGAGACTGCTCTTAGGGAAGAGTCGATTTCTGTCAGAGAATAACCGTCCCTGTGTTGGTAATATCATGGTTGTATATGAGCTATAGAAAAACATAGCAGCTCCATCATGTGAGATTCAGTAAGACACAACTTAATTGTAATGGTTTTTTTCTTGAATCACCTGTTTGTTAATACGTATATGAATCATTTTCTTCTTTTTAAAGGGAACAGAGAGCCATAGACCTGTACAAGCAATTAAAAACAAGACCCCCAGGTATGGAATGCGATTATTTAATGGCTGTTACAAGCTCAAATCGCACTACTAATTTTTACTTTCAGCAGTAAAGCAAAATGTTGCAAATACCGTTTAGGGCCAAACATATGATTTTATTGAAGTTTACCAGAGTCAGGGGCATACCTTAAGCTGTTTTTTTTCTTGTTGCTGAACCTGGAGCTCTCCCAAATTCCTATAGTCCTGCCCTTCAGACTTTGGGCTTGTCTTAACAGTTTTCAGACTTGAAGCATACGCCCTGAAAAAATGTGTCTGTGTCCTGGCATTCTCTGCCTTTTATCTGCCTCTACGACCATTCCTTTACTCCTCCCAGATTCAGGAAGAACTGCCGTTCCTCTGTCATCCCTCCAACCCAACTGGAACATCTTTTTTTCTCTTGATTGCTTTCATTTATTTTTATTTGTCATTAATTAATTGATGTATTTATTAACAAATAATTTATTAATAAGTATTTCAATAATCAAATAATTGTTAGACATCAATCAATATTTTGTTTATTGTTTTCTCTTGATTACATTGGAGGAGGCTCCGTGTTTGGGGATTATGATGATCTGAACATAGTAACTGGTGAGCAAAAGGAGTTAGCTACCTGTGTGTTTGGCAACTACCTGCAGTCCTTACTGAAGCCAGTATCTGGGCAGCAAGAGTGATTGGAACTGTATGCATGACTGTGGAGAGAAGAGACATTATGGAAAAGTTGTATTTCCGTTTATTTGGCTGCACTTGTTAAGTGAAATCTTTCATTTGTGTCCAGAGTGTTTCTTTATTGAAGAACATATTACTAATGTGATTGATGCCCCTTCCAGATCACGCCTACAGTGACAGCACAGATATGGTGAAGATTATTGTGCAGACAGTACAGAGCCAAGACCGAGTTCTCAAGGAGCTCTTTGGCCATCTCAGGTACTTTATGCAGAAAACGAGACAAATGCAACTTTCAGCCTTTGTTGCTTTGTAAAAGGAAAGCATGGGGAAAATCCTGAAAATTAGGGCCCAAAACCTTCATTCACAGACATACACTTCTCAGAGTAATATTAATTCTGCTGCTTTGTGTCTGTGTTTTCACTTATTCTTTTAAAATGCATAGCCAGCGCTTTAATAGGGGAGAGCAGGAGAATGCACTGGCTTATATTCTTATAATCCAAGAGTTTGCCTCAAAATGAGACAAATTCTGCAAGTGTTTATGCTGAGTTTTAAAAAAAACAGCTGACAAGATATCGCAGTGAGTTGTTGATTACTTCCTAAAGCAGGTCAGAAAAAATATCATTATGCATTAAGTTAGCAGAGTTTAGTTTTATTTTCACGGGTGGCTCAGTAGATCCTACAAAAAAAGTTTCTGGCTAAGGTATGGTCAGCCCACAGAGACCAATACAAACCAAAGAGGATTAATAAATAACCATGGTTGAATTGCTGTGCTGTCCATTCGCATCAGGATCAATTTTTGTATCTCAGATAAGAAGAGCTTGTATTCTGGGTATTAAAAGTACTGTTGCCTGGCTGCTTTTTTGAGTCTTAATGGGGATCCTTCCAGCCTTGCAGCTTTTGTAGGTGCAGCTAAGAAGAAATGGGTGTTCTTCTTACAGAATTTTTCTTGAATTCACTTTGGTTTTGCCAAAGCATATTGCCACACAAGCTGGGAAGTAACTGTGTTTTGTTTTTATTATAGCAAGCTGTTGGGCTGTAAGCAGAAGATTATTGACTTGCTTCCAAAGATTGAAGTGGCTCTAAATAACATCAAGGAAGCTGACAACTCAGTGATGCAGATGCAGGGCAAAAGACAAAGGGAGATATGGCACTTGCTGAAAATTGCTTGTGTAAGTAGCTTTTGGATTAGTCATTTGCTCTCCCTTTCAGTGCAGGAACTAGGAGACATCAAATGACACTGTGAAGAGACCAGCTAAAAACAAACAAAAAAGAGATCCTTCCCCACAACAGTTGATTTTGCTAGGGAGAAGGGAAGTTTGAGATGCTAAAAGTTTACAGAGTGCCTGGACAAATTCATGGAAAAGAAATCCAGTAAAAGAGTGCTTTGTCCCAATAAGTCCTCAAACTGCAAATCACTGGAGGCTGGAATAGGATAGCACCATAACATGCTTGCCTTGTTCTTTTTCCCTGAGCATCTACTGTTGGCTGCTGTCGGAGAGCATATACTGGGATAGTTGAACTTTAATCTTACCTAATAAAGCTATTGTTATAGTGTTATTGCTGCAAAAGCTAAATAGGTGCTTTTCTTGAACAGCTGAAACTGTTTAAGACTGCACTACTTTTTTCTGCATCAGTTCTAGCGACTGTATAGCTGAAGGGATCACCTTATTTCCACATGCCTACCTGAAAGGCCAGCATTGAAAACTTATGTGTTTCCACTGTCAGAAGATTTGCTGCTGTGTGTGACTCACAGTTTAGGAAGCAGTACCTCCTAATTCTTCGGCATAAAATACATGCTGTGTGCAATACAGGTGACTAACCTGCCATGCGGAGACATTTGGCGCTGGCTGTTTGCAGAACTATGGAGGGCTGCATCAGCTGCCTTCTTAGCCATAGGCTTTGCCTAGATATCGTATATATGCTACAAACAGTGCTTATGGGGCATAAGTCACAAGTCTTCTAGCATGCATACAAAATAATTATGCCTGACTAAATTCTTTCTTTGTCCATCACAGCAAGTGAATTCCTTTTTTTCTAGACTCAGAGCTCTTCTCGATCGCTGGTAAGTTCCAGTCTGGAAGGGACAGCCTCAACTCCAGCTGCCACGTCGCTCCCACAGAGCTCCTCAGGGCATGTACCTCACCCTCTTTCATCTCTGACAGCTCCTGGAGATGGGTAAGAGCTATGGGGAAAGGATGCCACTGCAGAGAAGAAATCAGTGTAACTACTTTATACGCATACACTCAGAAATCCTGTCCTCTGCCCCTGCAGTCTCCAGTACTAAGGGGGCCTGACCTATTTAATATGTGTTCATCCCATCCCATGTGGTGGCTTTTGGATATGCTAGCCAGGGAGTGTTTTGGCATACTAGACTGCCTGAAAGCAATGTGGTATAACTTGTGACTGGTTTGTTTTAATAGCTTCTCTCCGGCCATCCCATAGCTGAGCGCACCTCAGGACCATAGCAAAATGCAGCAGTAAGACACTGAGCCAAATTGTAGTTTCTCTTTGTGCCTGAGTTCTGTTGCAAGACCCAGATATATCAGGCCATATTTACTGCTTCCTTACAGCTTCAGTGATTTTAAATAGTCTTCGTTCAAATGGAGATCTGAAGTTGGGGTCGATACTAAAACAATCTATCCAATTCAGCATCTGTTTTTCCATCTTTCCAAAAAAGTTTTCAGTACCTCATGTGTTACTCGTGTTCTAAAAAAACAGGAATTAGTTTGAAATCTTTATTCACAAAGCTTCACTCGCTGGCCCTGAGCAAGTTCCCCTTAGGATTCTCAGTTAAAGCATGCGATGTCCATCAGCGCTGGTTATTAAGGCTCCTCTCTCAGCCAGTCCTATCTGAGGTGCCAAGAGAGATGTCGGGAGCACTAGCAATTTTACTTCAGTTAGCATAACAGAAGGGAAGGCATCCTCAGTAAATCTGCGATAGATGTGCATCAGTGCTAATTTTGTGGGGGCTGGGGCAGGGGGTATAAACATGGGCATTTTACACTGCCAAGGTGGAGATCTCTTTGAGGCCATCCCCCAGCATGTTGCTGGTCTGTGGCCTACAAGGCAACTCCTACAATTGCAGAAAACTCCTATAACTTAAGTTCTTTTTCTCCTGTGCAAAGCCTACTGATGTTGGTGTTGGTTTGTGTTTTAAATCCTTCTTCTTGTGCCTCTCCTGCAGGGAAACTTTCACCCATGTGATAGAAGAGAATCTAAATTATCTTGACCTCTTTAGCAGCATTTTGCAGGAGGCAAGACAGGAGCAGAGCAACAGTATGATGGTAAGTCTGTTGATGTATTCTTGAGGACCTGATTTTTCAGAGTCACAATGGGGCTGTGGAGAACTCCTTCAAGAGGGTTATTTGTGATGTTATAAGTTACTATGACTGGCATGTGATGTTTGTCATCTCCCCAGGACTCCAATAACATGCTAGTCCTTACGGAAAGTAGCAGTTGGAAAAATGTCAGCTAAAGGGTCTCCATGATGGAATGGGCTGGTGTTCTTCAGGACCCTCTGGCTGGTAGAGCTTTCTCTGAAAGCTGGCCATATTTTCAACTAGAAGGTTCTGGCTTGGGTCCTAGCACTGAAATGGGTAGAGTGGCCCCTTTGCTAATGATACTAAACTGGGAGGAGTGGCTGACACACCAGAAGGCTGTGCTGCCATTCAGAGGGACCTGGACAGGCTGGAGAGCTGGGCCGAGAGGAACCTCCAAAGTTCAACAAAGGCAAGTGCAGGGTCCTGCACCTGGGGAGGAATAATCCCAATCACCAGTACAGGCTGGGGGTTGACCTGCTGGAAAGCAGCTCTGCCGAGAAGGACCTGGGAGTGCTGGTGGACAACAAGCTGACCATGAGGCAGCAGTGTGCCCTTGTGGTCAGGAGGGCCAATGGTCTCCTGGGGTGCATTAGGCAGAGTGTTGCCAGCAGGTGGAGGGAGGTGATCCTGCCCCTCTCCTCAGCCCTGGGGAGGCCTCACCTGGAGTCCTGTGTCCAGTTCTGGGCTCCCCAGGACAAGAGAGACATGGCACTCCTGGAGAGAGTCCAGCGGAGGGCTACCAAGATGATGAGGGGACTGGAGCATCTCTCCTCTGAAGAAAGGCTGAGAGAGCTGCGCCTGTTTAGCCTGGAGAAGAGAAGACTGAGAGGCGATCTCATCAACGTGTACAAGTATCTGAAGGGGGGGTGGCCTCAAGAGGATGAGGCCAGTCTCTTCTCCGTGGTGGCCAGCAACAGGACAAGAGGCAATGGGCAGAAACTGAACCACAGGAAGTTCCACCTAAACCTGGGAAAAAACTTCTTCCCTGTGAGGGTGACAGAGCATTGGAACAGGTTGCCCGGAGAGGTGGTGGAGTCTCGTTCCCTGGAGATATTCAAAACCCGTCTGGACGCGATCCTGGGCAATATGCTCTAGAGGACGCAGCTTGAGCAGGGAGGTTGGACTAGATGATCTCCAGAGGTCCCTTCCAGCCTCGGCCATTCTGTGATTCTGTGATTCTCTGTTTCCAGACTACTTTCCTGAAGTAGGGTTTTAGAGAGTTCTGAAGGGGCTTTTTGCACAAGTTGATATTTGAAATAGTAAGAAATGACAAAAGCAGATCATGATATTCCAGAAGTTCTGGAGCAGTATGAAATGCTATTCCCGAACTACTAACTGAGGCTGGTAAGCTACTGCTTAAGACTTCCTGAAAAGAGGTCCAACATCTGAGGAGAAGTGAGATCCATGTGATAATAGTGTAACTTGGATTTCCAAACAGCTTTTTATAGCAGCATCTCCTTAGGGATAACTTCTGTTCTCACAGGATAAAAGATAAAGGCCTGTTTACCAATTTGTAACTGTTTAAACAATGAGGAACAGAGGTTTGGAGAAGGGGATGCAGTTGAAGAAATGAAGCTCTTATGATTTGTAAATACTTCAATGTTTAAACATTTTCATTTGTAAACAGTTAATGTTCTAATGTTTATGAATCTTAGTAGACAGTGAAGTGAGAGTTTACTAGAATTACTGAGTTATTCCTGGCAGTGAAATAAAAACTCATTAGCAGCAATTGCAGAGCAAGGGATTGAGCAACATGAATGGCCAAATTAAATTAGCTGCTGATAAAAGCAAAGTAATTAGGTAAGGGGGAAAACAGCCTTAATTATGTATTTCCTGGTCTTCAGCTGTTTGTTGAGGAATGCGTTGTTTCTTTGTTCAGTTTGGACACGGTTGGTATCAGTTGTGTAATGTAATCTCTCCCGTCTTGTCTCCTTGCTGTCGCTGTTTACCGTGCAACTGGCTTCTTACCTGTTAATCATCTGTATATCTGTCATCTGCTGTATCTCATTCCAAGGTGCAGCAGCTGTCTCTCTGGTCTATTTTAACCCAGAAAGATTATTCTTTGTTGTGGAATCATGCTGTGCAGATTAGCACCTGTTATGTTCTGTTTGGTTTCTTTCCCGTTTTCCTTGCTGCCAGACACAGAAGTTAGGCAACAGTAAACCAGCAGAAAATGGGATTTGTCCTCTTCAATCCACTTGGAAAAAACAGGAAAAAGAACGCGTAGCTATGAGAGCCTTTTCTCTGTTGTATGAAGTCATAAATTGCAATCTTTATTTTTCTTTTTCATTTGTGTTCTTGTACTACCTGCATGTCTCATGCCGTGCTAGGACCACCAGTGGTAGCTATTGTACAGATTCAGAATACAGTTGCCAAAGTGAGAATAGTCTGTGACAGGCCTGAGTACTGTAATAAGTATGAAGAATTTTTTGTATCAGAGCTAAACTGAGTCAGGAAATTATGAGAATTACTGTTCAGCTATTATATCAAAGCAATTCTTTGATGAGAGAGAGAGATGTTGGCACTGAGAGTCCTTTGGTCACCACCTTGGAAAGGTGCACTGAATAGCCAGTTCCTGGACTTCAGTTGTTCTCTTGCTTCTTCTTTCAGAGTCTTGACTGGAGTTGGCTAAAATAGCCAGAGGAGAGGAGGATCCAACCTGCTGCTATCTGCAAAGTGCCTGCATGCTCAGAGGTAGCCTGACAGGCTTTGATAAGATGAGAAGAAAGGAACCGGTAGTTTGCTTTGAATGATCCATCACCTTTTGTTTTGCAAACATTAGCGGAGTTGATTACAAAGATTGTGGTCAGTAGCAGATATATAACTTTCAGTAACAAACAATGTTTTACAATCTGTTGTCTAGTTGGGCTTTCAACTAAATAAGTAACCTGCTTGTTGGAGACATTGCGCAACTGCAGCTTCTGCTGCGTTCACCTGTGGTTGCGACCTGTGGAAACGGCCAGTGATCTCTCAGGGTGCATCTCATCTTTGTGAAGGCCAGCGCCTGACAGCTTTGCTGGGAGAGTTGGTGCTTGGGGCGACGTCGCTGGAGAACCTTATTTGGAAGGAAACCCTGGGCCTCCATGGTGGGAGCGATGGTGAGGAGGAGAGGGCAGGCGGCCAGACTCTGCGCTCCAGAGTGGAGCACGTTCCCTGGGCCAGGTCTCACAGCTACCTCTGCGCTGAGCGATGGGAGGCTGTCCGCTTGCAACAACAGGGCAGCAGAAGCTGCGTTCGTGCCTTAGCTGGTGGCCGAGGCCTCGCTGCCTGGCCTTGTGCTGCGCTCCTTCAAGCCGCGGCGGCGGGCGAGGGCGACGCGACATCTCTGCCTTGGCCCCCGCGGAGGAGGTTCTCACCCACCCTCCACCCTGCTCCACAGTTCAGTTGTGTGCGTTATGTAAGATATATATATATAAATATATATATACACGCATATTTTAAATCTAATTAATT